CACACACACACACACACACACACACACACACACACACAGACACACACACACACACACACACACACACACACAGAGAGAGAGAATCTCTCCTTTTTTTGGGAGGGGAGAGAGAGAGTGTCTCCTTTTTTTTGGGGGGGGGGTGTAATTTTCCAAATGCTCCCATAAGTTGAGATATATGTCAAAATGTCCCTAAAAGATATGGGCACAGTGGAATGGCCTTTTGGACTGACGTATTTGTGTTATGCCCCTGTCAGGTGCATGTGCGAATTCTCTTGGGCTTTTGCAATTGCACCTACAAAAAGTTGGCCACTGCCAGGGCATTTTGCAAAGTCGGGCAGCGTCTGCGAGGGGTACATTGCAAAGATGAGGTCAAACTGATGGCTGTGGTGTTTCGCAAAACGTTTTTGTCATCGCCCTTCGCTGCGGTGCGTTCACTTGTGTTTAATTAAAGTTTAAACTTGAAAAGAAGTGAAACCCTCAAGGCCTCAACCTTATTGGAGCAAATCTCTTCCCCGCAAACTAGCGTATCCACTAGGACCTCAAGGCATTCCTGTCCGTGCACTGAGGGATCATCTGATGTGCTTCTGGTACTGCTGCCACAGCTGCTGTTGCGGCTGCCACTGCCACTACCACTGTCACTGCTGATGCCTCTGAGGCTGTGGCGGCAACCACAACAATCACGGCTGATGCAATCACACGAACGTCAGTTTATGCATGTCATCCTTGCGCAGGGGCAGGGGCCATGCTTATCTTGTTCCATGTAAAATTCATCAAGTCAAAACTTCCAGAAAAGCTAAACATAGTATAATACTATTAATACATGTTTTTTTTAATATCATCTTCCTGGGACTTTTAGTAGGGGTGATAAGAGCAGCCCCTAGTAGTAACCGCCAACAGATTGCTCCAATCTATTGGTGGGGAGCTTCACATGCTGGAAGCATCCCATGTAATAATAAGGGAGAATTGAATCTGTAACCCACTTAAAGTTGGGAATACCCGATATTACCCAGTCCCACTGCAAAACTGCATCTATACCCCGAACCCGTTCAACTTTGCATAGTACCCAACTTTTCCCCTGTGCAAAATTGTAGGTGTACCCAGTCCGGCACCACGAAATTATGCTCATGCCCAGGAACCGGGTTGGCAGAATTGTGGGTAAACCCACACCCAGTGGGGGGGCTTGGATGCCTGACCACGAAATTATGCTCATGCGCACTGAGTGGACGGTTGTGGCCCAACAGCTGCCGGGTATGAGCATAATTTCAGCCTTCCAGCAGTAGGGTATAATTTTGTGTGGGTATGTCCATAATTTGTGCATTCCGCTAGTACGGTTATAACCGCAATTTTGCGGTACCAACCTGGGTCGGCGAACGTCCTAATCAAACGACTGTCGAGGTGTCCAAAACATGCCAGACATAGAAGGAAAGATCATAGACTCAATCCCGCAACTCCATGCATCCTCATGTACCACAGAAAGATAAATGTGGAGTTGCGAAGGTGGCGAGAAAGATAGACGACGAGGACGGGGACAAAAGCTCAGAGAAAACAAACAATTAAGACTCCAAAAATTCCAAGAATATGACCCGATCTCAGATTCTCGTTCTCTGTAGAGTCTGTACCACTCCACTCAGAATTCGGTGCAGGCAGTCTGTCGCCTCGCACCCACCATCTATACCCAGAGTCGTCACCCCCCTTGACCTGATCACACAAGCCAGGTTCCGCTGTGCCCCGCAGTACGTCACAGCGACACATCAACCCCACATCAACTCCCCCAGCTCGTCGGGTCGCCCAAATCCACTACTCACCTCACAACCTTTGCTGCCCTGCTAGCCGATCCTCTCAATCGCGAACTCCAAAAGTTAGCTTAGAAAGAGATAAATCCGCGACTCCTAAATTTATAAGAACGACAGACGCATGCGCGAGATATGAACTAAATTAACGAGATTAGGCGAGAAGGTAGAGGGGAAGTGCCAACAAGCTGCATACTTGGACCGCGAAGTGGGGACTTAGCCATGCTCCATGCATCGATCCCGGTTGTATCATGTTGGCCAATGAGAGGGGAGAGAAGTAAGAAGATGCATGAGTGCCAAGAAGTAGCAGGAGGGGAGAAAAAGCAGTTACCAAGCAGGGGGAAAAGGGCAGTTGACAGTTAAAAACAAAATTCAGGCGCAAAGGGAAAGAGCGTGAAGAACTGTGCACACACGAAGGAAGAAGAGCTCAGTTACACCTTGCACCCAAGCAAAACGCAGTGAGCCTGAAATCTCAGGCTAATTAAAATCCCAATTCCGAGGAAAGTTCCCATTTATGCACGCGAGCTACCACGCGGCCATCAACATTTGAAAATTCAAATGCCATTCAGCGCAAACTACCACGCCAAAATTTCCCACCGAACCATGCAAAATTCCAACGCAAAAAGAGAAAAAGAAAAAAAGATACGTCATCTTTTATTTGTGCTTGCGACTGCGCATCCTAACTGTCACTTCGAAAATGGAACAGACCATGTCAGAAGTTGCAGAAATACCCCTCACACATCACAACTTGGACTATGGTATACTTTGTAAAAAGAAATTTGAAAGACAAAGGAGCATAGTTGAGGCGCACCAGTGCGCAGTGCGGTGCGGGGTGGTGCACAGTGCGCTGTGCGCTGGAATGACAGCGCACGCACTGTGCGCGGTGCGGTGCGCCCGCTGAGGGGGCCGCTGCTTCAATGAGAAGGATATCCTCATAATGCATGAAAGACATGGGGGCAGACCACCAATATATGCTGTGGATTCGAGTTCAGGGCTGTAGCTCGGCAGTTATGGGTCACCAGTTCAGCTAGACCCTGTTCGTGTCTCCGCGTGATTCTCAGGGCCTCCCTCCACCACTCACCAAATGTATATAATATTAGTAGAATGAATCTTCTGCTATACTATGTCTTTTGTGCATTTGGTGAGTCGTGGAGCAGGCCCCACTGGACTTATTCGTAAGAAAACAAAAACAAGAATACGAGAGAGCCACGGGCATCTTCATCCTAACCCATAACTGCTGGCATGCAGACCTGAACGCCAATCTTCAGCATATATTAATGGTCGGCTGGCCATAGAAAACGCAACTTGTGATCTCTGCAAAGCTTCTCGGGGCAGGTCGTTATTAGGCGACTACCCCTTCTTGCGAACTTGCCCCACTACTGTGTGGGATTTGCAGAAGGGAGCGGAAAGAACATCTTTCATACCCCGCCTAAAAAAAAAGATGGAATGAGCCGTGTTTTTCAAGTATTTTATGCTTCTGAAACGGTTTTCACCTCCATAGTAGCAGATGCAGATCCCAGGGCTCGATCCCTAGACCTCACTTACCTGTGTACAGTACCCCTGTGTGTTTGAACCCGTGACCTGCGTCTTAGGAGTCTGCTGTTGTCCGTCGCAGGCCCGTGTAGTCATCGGGTCTTGAACTGTAGTCCTGTCGAGTAGGGGTCAAGTTTGTAGCAGAGGTCGTAGCTGTAGTAGTTCTGAAGGGTCAAGGTCGTAGCTGCTACAGTGTCGAAAGGCCAAGTCCACAGACTTCCGGAAGGTCCGGAAGTGGCCTTTTAAACGTTGTCCACAGTAGACCAGAGGCAAGTGGGCAAGTGGTGAGTCTAACTTCGCTGAGTCAGCAGTACCCAGTCCCAGTCTCACTTTGTACAGTCAGCAAGTACCATAAGGGACTGTGTGCGCCAAGGGCCCGGTGGAAAATTGGCAGACCAGCGACGAACAGAAGTATAAATCAAGAGGCAGCGTCCAGCCATTCATTGATTCCTGTGTAAGCCATGCCGTAGCGCTGCCTGAGCGACTTGTGCAAGGTGGTCTGCAGAGCGCCCGAAGACAAAGTGGGCTGACGGAGATAGTTAGCCATAGCCATTCAGGGACAGCGACCATAGCCACCATAGCTGATAGGCGAGTGTGTTAGTAGTAGTGTGTGTGTGGTTGTGTATGCGTGTGGGATATCCAGGGTGACCCAGAGTTGAGTGAGTGCGAACAGTGGTGTTGGACAGAAAGACGAGAGTTGGGGTGTACAGGCGCAGATGCGCCATAGCCTGTCGAAGCGAGTTTGTATCTGAACTGTGTTTTCGACTTCCATATCTTTGAGCTTTGAGTGGGCGCTGTGCGCCAGTGTGATTCACCATCTGTTTGCATGAGTGCGAAGTGGAAATGAAAGCGAGTCTGATTGCACTTCACCATTCTGAAACTTTTGGGGGAAGGGCCTGCGGAAATCGAAATTTGGCAGCCCTTACCCAAAAAAAAAATTCGAGCTGGGGGCGCGGCCGGTTTCCGAGCTCGCAAGGCGAGTTTAACATTTTTGCCGAGTTGGGGGCCCTAAGAAATTACGAAACCCCTACTCTCTCTTTTTTTTTTGTGGAGTCTGTGGACCTAATTTTTCCAGTGCGCTGCGGTTCGGTGCGCTGCGCTGCGCGCGTTGCGCAATTCGTGCACAAATCCGCACACCGAGGTGCGCTGCAACTATGCAAAGGAGCAATGAGAAAGATCAGCCCCTTAGAGATACACAGGTCCATTTTCAGACCCCCCCGGGCGTCACGCCCGTGTGCCCGACCGGGCATGAAAATCTTCCTAGTAAAATAGTAAAATACTTCTTTTCTTTTATTTTTCAAAAAAGTTATACCTGTCCAGTTGAACCTGCTCCCTGTTGTTGTTCTGCAACATTCTCGGTCACTGCACAAAAAGCCAACGAGAATAGAAAAATAATAAAATGTTATGACAAATGCAAACTGAATAGACAACACAGTACATCAGAAACAATGTGCAAGTTCACAACAGACACAATCTCAAGGGTGTACCGATGTGACTGCTGCAAATACCTTGCCACATAAATCCATGGACCAGAAACAGCACCAGGTACAACATTTGAAAGCTTTGCATCACATACGGTACATCAATATGGCATATAGC